AGACGTTAGACGACGGCCAGAGCGACACGCGCATGCGCACCGCCCAGTCACGCGTGGCGGACGCAGATCAAGGTCCAACACGGCTAACGAATGGCCAGGGTTGTGACACCAAGCTGTGGGTATGATCTGAGTGTCCTGGCGTTGAAATCCAACTGGCTGAAATAACACTGACGAATCACCTGACCATTGGCCACAAGATCACACTCTTCCGAGCGAGTCTCCACGCGTTTGATATCGTAAATAAATACAATTATCGCATCACATATCCCATTGCCAGTTGAAGAACCGACTAGCGCCCGGGTGGCGGACCATCACTGACCAGATTCTGCGCCTGGTTGATGAAGATCTGCGTGCCGACGGCGTCTTCGAGCCGCAAGCGCCGCTGCGTCGCCTTCTCCCGCACCTTGTCCCACAGCGAGTTCACCTCCTTCTGGCGCGTCGTCACGTTGGCCAGCTCGTGCGGGTAGGAGGCCTTCACTCTGCGCAGCACGAGACGAGCACACCGTTACACTATGCAACTCTGCTTCAAGGTATCGGCTAATACATTATTGCAGCGAGCATCGGATGTTAGCCACTTCCACGTTACGTTGTAAAATGTTACATTCTTTTAAAGTTTTGGTAACATCCTGCATGAGCAGCTTAACCTTTGTTACAATATCACACAGTGACCGCCCCAGTGCGCCGCGGTCGGGACCGGTTTCCAAGCCAGGCACCATTGGCTGCCACAGGGCCGATTGCTCCCGGTGTCACTGGCCGAACGGAAGACTATGACATGCCGCGGGACGCCAGGGCCCGAGTCACGAAGACGGCAATATCGCATCACCGTCCAGGACGGGCTCACGCTACTCACGACCCCCGTTCGTCATACAAAGGTTTTCGCGCAGCATCCCTTAGTGAAAATAGCAGCTGTCGGCTTTTCGATTTGTATATGTTGTCTGTTGGTTTTTCGAATTCATGCGTTAAGGAGGCATCACAAATTTAAAACTCTTCGCTATGACGCATCAAGAGTAAACAATTGGTTAAAAGTTAATGAAAAGTAAAATGAGTTATTGCGAGCGAGGCCACGGGGCAAGCGAGTCTTCAGCTACCTAACCGGAGGGCCTAGCTCTTCAGCGACAAGACAAAACCGGGCACGGCACGCTCTCCACGGGATAGATACCTTTGCCACCGTGTAAACACCACCAACTATTCAGTAAGAGGCAACCGACTTATAGACGAGATGCACTGTAATATTTTCAATCTAAGTCAGAGCGGGCTGTCTGATCAGGCAGCGCATCTCTAAGCGCTGCCATATTACCACTTTTTGATCACCCCAATCAACTAGAAATAAAAACGTCAATTTTGTTACCCTTATCAAGCTGAGGCACACGCGTCGAGAACAGGCCTAGAGCTCGGCGACCGAAACTTTCAGCGACGTGATATAAGTACTTACGACGGTCAAAACGGAATACTGTTCTGGCAAAAACTGCAAGCGGACTATCGCGCGGAATTGTGCCCAAACCACGGATGATCCGCCGAACCTGATGCCAAAATTCGGCAACCAGGGCAGATGTAGGCATGAAACCAGCTGTTCGGCGTGTGTGAACGTGCCGCTATCTAAATCATCCAGGGATCGGCAAGCCTGTCCAACCAATGGGGACGTCATACTGTGCCTGGAAGTTATCAATGGTGCCCTTTCCAAAACCGGTCCCCACCACAGCACGCTGCGGCCACCATCAGGATACACCAGGCCATAAGTAGAGACGGTGACACAGATTTTGTCACCAATCTTTCACTTAATATTGCATTCCTCAACATTTTCGTTGAAGTCATGAGATACCATTAACTACACTAACTAAATTCACCCCGTGGATTAAATTCCTCATGGACCGCCTTCTGGCCACATAAGCCAGAAGGCGGTCCATGAGCCGGGTTGCTGGGGGCAGCCATCTGTGACAGACAACCGGAAGGAGGACCATCGCCCCACAGTCGGCGGAGCGCGGCGCGGTCGGCCGGCTGGCTCTACTCACGAGCTGGCGAGCGCGGCCACGCGTTTGACCTTCTCCTCGATGGGCGCCAGCTCGCGCTCCAGGTTGTCATGGCGACGCTGCAGCGCCTGGATCGTCTTGAGGTCGGCGCCCAGCGACTCCGTCTCCATCTTGTCCATCTTCTCCATCATCCAATCGGAAGCCTCCTCGCACGTGCGGCCGAACAGCTCCACACTGGCGGCAGCGCATGAGCTGGTCAGGACGCCGGCCGAGCGCAATTTCACACAGGACCAGCGGGAAAGCGTCTCTTCCCCGGTCGGGTCGCAACCGGGAGCTGCCGAGCTCGCCAACAAGCTTTTGACGTCTCTGGGCCAGTATGGAGCGAGCGTGGTGTAGATACATGTCAATAAAGTGCGACACTGCGACCGCATGGGAATGCGCACGGGTCATGAGAATGCATGGCCAGGTTACGGTGCGCAAAAGCCCAAACAATGTATCATCCGTACGCACGACAACGGACACCTCCCCGAAAGCCCCTCCCTCATAATTGGTTGGTCGAGTTTCGACTCCGCCCCTCCTGACCCATCATGGCACCGAAGGTCCCCGGAGAGTCGCCTACCTGGAGGCACCCTCCAGACTGCGCTCCTTCTGCTGCTTCAGCCGGTTCAGGTGGTCCCAGAGACTGTGGACTGTGGATCTGCCGCTGCCGCTGCTTCACCTAGACAGGGTCAGACCGGCCCCAGTCAGCGACTGAGATTCAACTATCATAGCTGGAGAAAAAACATGCAATCTGTCGTTACTCTAGACTCAAGACATTAGACGCAGCCTTCTTTTCAGCAGTAGGGAGCGCACGAGCACGCGTCACCCGTAACTGCTCACTCGGGCTCACCTGTCGATCTGGGTGTTCTTCTCCTTGACAACTCTGCGACCATCTCGTCGATGGTGTCAATGCGCTTCGAAGCTGCCACCATATCGGTTAGGAATTTCTGAAAACAGCCGGGATGTCGTTGACATCATCCCCATCATCGCCGCTCATTCATCGTCCAACCGGACAACCAAGACATGGCACGCTAAAGCATACAACGTCACAGGTAAAGACGCACATACATGTCTGAGATCGAATGCGAAGTTCAACAGCGTTTGCGTCATCGGACTGTGCAGTAGGTCAGCTCCAGTTGGGAGAGTCGATGGACGCTGCCGCGGAAGACACAAAAGAGCAGCACTGAGCCTTCAGAAGGCTTACCACTATAGACGCGGCGAGCAGACACACGCGCAGCACAGCGGCCCGTGAGGTATCTCCACGCCACACCTGTCCTGAATACGCGAGGTTGGCAGCGAGATGTCTGGAGTAGAGCGTCCACCAGCGCACGCAAGCTGACGTCTATATCGCTGACTTTTGCTATGTCTCTGTGCCCGACCGCCCCCATTACTTCTGCAATCATTAACTCATGGAAGTTTACGTCAAATGAAAGCCACATATTAATGGGCATAGATGATAATTTTGGCATCGCCCAAAAGCAACCAAACCTTACCAAAAACGAAGACAAAAAACAATGCGCCTTGACAGAATGTACAGACTCACGCCGCGCCCCATGCCCTGTCACCAGGTGCTGGCTGTTCTCGGGGCCTAGGTTCCCGGGCCACCAGTTCCCCGTCTCCCCCTCCCCTGCCCCCCCCCCCCCCCACCCTGTGCCCACCACTGACCTCGAAGGCGTGCTTCGCCGCCTCCACTGTCTGCGCGGGCTCGTCCGTTTTGAGGAACTTCTCCTTGTCGCGCATCCAGACCTCGAAGTCGTTGCACTCGCGGTTTGAACTGGAAGAGCCGGATGGCGTCCTGCAGCAGCGTCTGGCGCTGGTCGGCCAGCCGGCCCAGCTCGGCGTACGACGACTCGATGGTCGACACGCGGCGCGAGATGAGCTGGTCATCGCGCGGCTCTGGCGACGCCCGGGGCGGGGCGTGAGGGGGAGGGGTGCACCACTTCGTGGCCAGGTTCAGGCCGATGTGCGACTGATCCCGCGAACTTAAGTGATATCACTAACATCACCGGCACAGTGCACTGACCGCGCCGCGTAGGACGTGTTCGTTGCGTGACTTAAGCGCAGCGTGTTCAAAGTAACATATTAAGCAATGGCACACGACCGTGCTCCGTTTTGCGACACTGACGCCACGATGCCGCCACTCTACCGCCGCTGACATGCCGAACGCCACGGCCGAGGCCGGCGCGCTCACCTGCCGGCCTGGTGCGCTTCACCGGCACCGTCTGCCGCACCATCTTGGTCTTCTTGACCTTCTTGACATCCCGCACCACCTCAGCCTTCTTCACCTTCATGGTAACCAGCTTGGGCTCGACTTCCTTGACATAGTTGGCCGGCACGAAGCCGTCCTGTCCGTTGGCCTTGCGCACGTTCCACCAGTCCGTATTGGTCCGACTCAGCAGGAACATCACCTGGGGAGAGAGGCGGCGTAGGGTGCGTTTGCAGAGACTGGCCAGGCGAGCCAGCCATCGTCAGCATGCATCGGCAGTCACGTCCGGAGCCGGTCAGCGGCCGACGGCGGTTTGGCCCCGCGCGAGGGTGGCTGCTGACCGACCGGGAAAGGAGCTGGGTGGTCGGCAGAGCTATCCAGTCGTTGACGGAGCCAATTCAGATGAAACACCACATGGCAAAAACACAACTCTCCCGCTGTAGCGTGGAGGGTGTGAGTTTGAGGACTGCGTGTGTGCGTGCGACCACACGCGACTGGAGCACAGCGGGCCCCCACTGTGGCCTCAAGAGCAAGACTTTGGGGAGCGTATGTGCAACATTGCACGACCAGACGGCAAATTTTCGCTGTGGCGTAAAGCGTACCAGTGTGGGGACCGCATAGCACCATGGGCGCAGAATAGAGCGCTGCTGATCGACAGATCCGCAATCAAAACGCCGCACCCGTGAAGCAAGGCACACGCAAAATTAAGTGTAATATAACTCCAGCACTTAACAGAGACGTTAAGACTACTCTGTCACTCCGGGCCAGTGTATCTAATGATTCTTCGACATCAACACCAAGCTGAAGGCGCTCAACAAGCCGGCCTTCTCGCCGCCTGAGGGTCGGCTGATCCACGACATCGAGAAGACGTGGACGCAGCTGGACAAGGCCGAGCACGCGCGCGAGGTGGCGCTGCGCGCCGAGCTGCAGCGTCAGGAGAGGCTTGAGCAGCTCGCCTACAAGTTCGAGAGGAAGGTGAGCGGATGGACGAGAGAGACAAAGAGAGCGCGCGCGGCGCAGACCGCTGCGGGCGCTCTGACCGACGGGGTGGAGGCGGGTGGGGCGGTGAGCGGTGATGACGGCAGCGAAGCGCTCTGACCGACGGGGTGGAGGCGGGTGGGGCAGTCAGCGGTGGAGGCGGCAGCGGGGCACTCTGACCGACGGGGTGGAGGCGGACAGGGGGTTGAGGAGTGAGTGGTGGTAGTGGATAGAGTGACTGGATTGGGAGGGGAGGGGGGGGGGGGCAGAGCGCTGTAGATGGCGGTCACTAGAGGCTGTGGCCGAGGGACAGCAGTTACGGGGACAATCTGGTGTGAGGCTGCTCTGGATGTTATGCAGTTGAACCCTGGAATGACCGGGAGTCCCACTTTGTGTGTATTTTCGCGCAGGTCCACCAGTGACTCGCGACGATAAACCACACTTGTTTGGCAACCCTCGGACGGATTTGTGAAACTACTGATCGCTGGCCGTTGACCGCTGACCACTGACCACTGATCTCTGACCACTGACCACTGACCACTGACCGCTGACCGCTAGCCACTGACCGCCGACCGCTGACCGCTGACCTCTTCTCCGTCCGTAGGGCGCACTGCGCGAGGGTTACCTGAAGGAGATGATTCAGGTGCTGTCCGACCCGCGCTACGGCAGCAACGTCACACAGGTGGAGGCCACCGTGAAGAAGCACGAGGCCATCAGCGCCGACATCCTGGCCAGGGTAGGTGGGGCTGCCTGCGCTCTTTCGCGGCCCGTCCGGGCGAGACGTCTGCTCTCCGTGTGCCGACCCTCGGCCGCTGCGCGACGTGTTGTGTCCACTGGGCAACGGCTGCCTTCGATACTCGAATGCCTTTTATGTTCTGTTCTCTCGTTTGCTGTCCCGAATGGTCACCGCAACGAAGACTGAGCAAAGGTGATGGGGAGGTGATATCTAGATGTGCGGCTTGATCACTGACCGCTTGAGACTGTGACGGCGTGTTGTCATGACAACTCGTGATATGCGGCCTGTTTATTCTGACGCCTGTTGCTTGGCTGTGGCCTCGTGCCGTGCGCTGGATGTGGCTTGTGCTGTGGTGTCGGCGTAGCCGGTGTGGTTAAGCCCCAAATGGTCAGTTGCGCCTGAGAGCGGCTCGTCGGGCGCCGCAGAGCTCGTGGGCTGACCTAGATGCCGCCCGTCCTGTCCGCCAGAGGGAGCGGTTCGCCGACCTGGTCAGCATGGCCGACGAGCTGGAGCGGGAGGGCTACCACGGCGCGGAGCGGGTGCGCAGCCGCGAGCAGCAGGTCACTAACAGGTGGCAGCACCTGCTGCAGCTGCTTAACAAGCACAAGCAGACGCTGTCCAGCTTCTCCAGCTTGATGACGATCCTGCGGGAGATCGACACGGTGACGACCACCATCCGCGACATGGAGGTACGTGACCTCCTCCCTAACCGCTACCGTCTGAGGACAGCAAAACAATCGGTCGTCTTTATGGATCGAGCCTTCTGCTTAGTGTTGCTGCGAGCGACAGAAGAGGGGCGGGGGGGGGGGTTGGGATCACTGCGTGCCCCCTCGTGCCGGATGAGTACCTCTGGTGTGCGTTGTCTCCGCCATCAGGCTCCGGGACGGGACAGAGGCGCGTCGCGCCATCACACGCCGTAGATACGATCCTACGGTGGCTGTCGTGTTTGTGGCGCGCCGTCCGAGCTGGCGGCCGTGACCCGGCCCCCGGCCTCCCCCACAGAGTCAGGTGCAGTCGGAGGCGGCGGCCGGTCACTTGCTGGCTGTCGAGGACCTGATCCAGAAGCACAGCCTGATGGAGTCGCAGATCTCCAGCATCGGCGAGACCATCCAGCGGCTCAACAAGCAGGCCAACCAGTTCATCGCCGCCGGACACAAGGAGACGCCCGCGCTCCAGAAGAGGCTGCAGACGCTCAACGACGAGTACAAACAGTGAGTGGCATGTGCCCTCCGGCGGCGGGACGGCGGCCGCTCGGCGCCGGCTGTGGGCCGCTCCAGCTTAGCCCGGCCGCCCTGTGCATGGCCAAATGGTCTCTTTTGTGATGTTGGCGGTCCCACCGACCTGGCGGGTGTCGGCACCACTGCCGGTAACTGGGCTCATCCGTGGTGGGTGCGTACCGGCGCGGCGGCTGGCGGCTCACAGCTGAGGCTGGCGGCTGGCGGCTGGCGGCTGACTGACGGCTGACCCCGGTCTGACGCAGCCTAGTGGACGAGAGCGGCCGACGCAGCGAGCGGCTCGACGAGTGGCGCAGCTATCTGCAGTTCGTGCAGGACTGTGAGGACGAGGAGGCCTGGCTGGTGGAGAAGCAGCGCATCTGCACGGCCGGCATCACCGCCAAGGACCTGCGTGCCGTGCTCGCCATGCAGCAGAAGCACAAGGTAGGCGCTGGCGGCTGGTTCCGGTGCGGCCGGTGGTGCTGTTGACGAGACACGTGCCCCGACACCCAGGCTACAGGACCGGCCCCCGGGGCTCTGATGTCGATGGTGGAGGTTTGACGGCATAGCTCAGGCTCGGGGCAGCCGAGGTGGTGGCTGAGGTACCGGTCGGCGGTCAGTGAGCGGCGCCGCATGCGGTGGCGTGACAGGTGGACCGGCGGACCGCCTGTGGCGCGCGGTCTATGCGTGAGCGATGCCCGATCCGCCGCACGATAAACATCCGGCGTGCCGTGCTGATGTGTGTGACGCCGCGTGACCCGGAGCAGCCCCAGCAGCGCGCTGGCGCGAGGTGCCGGGCTTGTGCTCGGCATGAGCTGGGGATCTGTGGTGGTGGCCGCCAGCCGCGAGGGAGGGTGGTGCCGGGCTGGGGCGGACAGGGGCGCGCCAGGGCCGCGTCGCTGCTGTACGGCTGACCCGTGCTCTTCCGCTGGCGGTAGGGGAGTGGCAGCACTGGTAGCCCGTATAAGGTGAGCCGCCGGGCGGGTCCGGCAGTGGCCGTCCGCCCGCGCCGCAGTGTCGTCGGCTCGGCTGTCCGCGCTGTCCTCCGTATGAGCTCGACAGGGGTGTCAGCGGTGGCGGCGCCGCCCATGCAGAACTGCCAGCTGTCTGCTCTGCCAGGGGCTTTTCTGAACAGGCTCGGGGCAGGATGTACTTGGTTGTCGGCCAGTCGTTCCCGCTGTGCGTCGCGTGCTGTCGTAACGCGTTTGTGGAGTCGGTGGCCCGGGGTATGCCAGCCTTTCGCAGGGACGCTGCGCGCTGGCAGAGCAACGAGCTGTAAATTGCCAACTTCCCTGTTACTTCGTTATGACGTCCGCTGTGCAACAGAGTTGCAGACTCTGCTTGCGGCTGGCTTATGCGTCCACAGTCATGGTGTCTGTGTTTCACGCTGAGAAGGCGAAGCAAGTCTTCAGGAAGTCTTCAGCAAGACTCTTGGCTGGGTTTGATCCGACCGTCATCCGCTACTACCTGTTGCCCTTGTCCCATATTGTGTTTGGTATCAATGCATTCAAATTCGACGGCATGTGGCAGTCCATCGCTGACGATTATGCAGTCTCGCAGACCTCCGTGCGGTGCAGCCGGCCTGCGCCGCCGTGTTCGACGCTCCTCGCTAACGCACGAGCCTGGCGCAGGCGCTGGAGGACGAGATGCGGGTACGGCGGCCCAAGACCGACAAGATCTGCCGAGCCGGCGAGCAGCTGACTGAGGCCAAGCACCCGCAGAGCGCCGACATCCACGCCAGGTGACGCCTCCGGCCGGCGCGCCGCGCTCGTCGCCAGTCCTGGCGCGGCAGGAGCGCCCGACGCACGGCCGCCGGCCTACGCGTGACGGTCTGGGAGTCGGCCGCGGGTGGGCGGGTCACGATACGGACCGTTTGACGCTGTTGGGGCGCGGGCAAACAGTGGGTTCACGTCACCAGACCACCCACGTCTGGTGTGGCCGCTGCCTGTGAACACGCCCTTATGGAGCAGCTGACACAAGTACCAGGAACAGCGGCGCGCTCATGATCGCATGGTCAACGTGACGAAGTGGTGACGTGTGACGGCGTGTTTCCACTGGCCCAGGATCGTGAGTCTGAAGCAGAAGTACGCCGAGCTGGAGGAGCTGGCCGCCCAGCGGCGCCGACAGCTGGCCAAGGCCGCCGAGGCTTACCAGGTCAGTCCGGCCCGGCGACCGGGCGGCCGAGCTCCCTTCGACGGCACACCACGGCCCGTCCGTCCGTCTCCGGGCATATGGGGAACACCCTCTCTATCGGTGAAATCTCGGGCTCGCCTCAAGGAACCCGTTGGGACGACCGCCCGTGCTGGCTAGTCAGCCGACTGACGTCTGTCCCCTTCGTCTGTCTGCGAAGCACTAGATCCAGCCGTGGGCTGGCCCCCGACGCTGGTAGGCGGGTGCCAGCGGTATCCAGCTTACCTCCGCGGCGTCCTGTGGTGTTATTGCTTTCTGGAACTCTGAACGACGCTCTGTGCGGTCCGTATGTGCCCTCCGTGTCTGCATCTGTACCGGCGCGAGCGCTGATCACAGTCTCGTCTCACGTGGTGATCAGACGCGCTGTGCACTGCCGGCGCCTGGTCGGCCGAGCCGGGCGACGTCGGCCGCGCGTTACCGCCGCCGCCTGCCGCAGTTCTACTCGGACGCCAACGAGGCCGAGTCGTGGCTGAAGGAGAAGAGGCCGCTGGTGGCGTCGGCCGACTGCGGCTCCGACGAGCCCAGCGCCGCCTCGCTGCTCGCCCGGCACAAGGACACGGTGGGCGAGATCAACGCGTACCGCGACGACATCACGGCGCTGGCGGCGCAGGCCGATAAGCTGCAGAAGGCCGGCATCACCTCCCTCAGCGTGAGTGGCGGGCGCGTGTTGGCGTAATGACGTGGGAGCCGGGCCACATACCAGCGCCTTAAGCTCTTGATCAAGATGTCGTAGGCGCTTGGTCAGGCCGCTCTGTTTTCAGTGGGCGAAGATCAATGCAAAGGTATCAGATTTTCGGCCTGGTGATCTATCATGGACACCATACAGATATGCAGTCGCAGCTCTCGAAAACAAAAACCACCGGATGCACCGTCTCTAAACCCAGTCATCCGAAACTTTGTTCGCCTCGTGGCAGCGGGCATGTTGGGCCGCGTACCACGAATTTCCGCGTGTTCTCGCGCGCCCTTCACCTGAGCGCGTGTATCTTGCTGGTGCCGCGAGTTTGACGCCGTTGCCGTGCTCGGTGGCGCCGGCGAGGCCCGCGCGATGGCTGGTGTTTGGCAGCTCCGCCCGGTGTTGCCGGGCCCAGCCCCGCCGTGTGTATGACGGCAGCTGTGTGCGTCTGCCGACCGTAACCGCGCCCTGCGCGTGCGCGGCAGCTGTCCGGAGCACCCGAGCTGGCCGAGGTGGAGGAGTGGAGCCAGGAGACGCGGCTCGTGCCCAAGGAGGTGTGGGAGGACGAGCCGGTGGAGCGCACCGAGCACCACATCGTCACCGAGGAGCGCAAGATCCCGCAGGTCAAGGCGCTCTACCCCTTCCAGGGCCAGGACATGCAGATGGCCAAGGGCGAGGTGAGAGGCGCGAGGCCTGTTGCAGTGGTGTCGGGCCGCGTGCGGTGTGCGGAGGACCTCCTCGGGGAGCGGCAGCCACAAAAATTTAACTTTTGTTTGGCTCAGGTATTTGTACATCACTGCTCATGATTTCAGTACCATATCACCGCACAGAAAATAACGGCATCACAGGTGAAAACATGTTGACAAAAGAGAGATAACAATCATAGTGATAACACTTGGTCAACAGGTATCAATCTAGTTGCTCCCAACCAAAAAATCTGGCATATCCCAGCATAAGGATGGTGATGCACTGGTCTACAACTCATCATCAACCCATCACCCTTATACCACATCATGCACCGGGAATCCAGAGAGCAAGTGCCCTCTAATCTCATGTAGTTCGTCTTGGACTCTCATTCCCAATCCAGGGTAGAAAACCATCACATGGGATTTTAGCGCTCAAAACAACATAGAGACTGTCAAAAATATCCGAACACCAGTACCTACTTAATTTTCCAAACACACAGGTCTAGAATATATGCATTTTGCGAATCGCCCTGCCGGACGAAGGGGGCCACTTGTCAGCAGATACACAGCACAGAGCAGTTTTGAAAACGCCGTGTAAGTGAGATAAAACCGCTCGGTGATTCTGGTGAGTTGTCCCTATGACGTCACTGATAGCAGGACTGTTAGCCCCGGACATGATGCTGAGGGGCAACTAGAGCATTGAAATATTCATACAAGAATGAAAAAGCCGTCAGCGAAAGATGCATTTAACCAGCGAGCCGATCGCGTATACTTTTATTGGAAATATGATGGTGTGCTTTGCATGCCTCTGCTGTAAACTTTTAAAATGCAACGGCATACAAATTTGAATGCGTATGTACAAACGAGCACGTCGTAACAGAGGGAAGGGAACAATGGGTGTCATTATATAAAAAAACAAACAGACTGTTATTGACAGCATATAAGACCAGAGCACCGATTACGTATAATCTAGCGACGAGTATGATGATGCACGTAGTAATCTTAGGCGGCAAGCCATCAATGTTCGGCTGCTCTGCAGCGTTATGCCCCAGGGCTAGCGGCCGCACCGCATTGAAGTCCTGTTATCAGTGACGTCATCATCCCGTTCAGACCGGGTAAAAATCCGACTCATGACGAAGTCCATGAACAGCATCTCTCTGCCCTTGCCTGTGCCAGAAAAGCTGCCAGAAAAGTGCGTTGGATAAGCCGCCAAACTGGGAGTGGAAAATTACCACCTCGAGGGAACCTGAGGGGGCGGGCGCGTTACGGCGCGCGTGGTGAGCGCGGGGGAGGAGGGGGTGGAGTAGGATTGAGTTATTATTCATTGTGGTATGTACTTTGTCCCCGTTGGTTGCTGATTGAGTTGAATCGAAGCTTTCGCCGATGGGCGTAAGAAGGGAATCTCATTGTGGATGTGGCTCAAGCTGGAAATGTATTTACTGATTATGAGCCCGGAAGAGTTCTGTTGTAACGGGTGCAGCTGAAGACACTAGTGGCTTGTTTAACTACCTTCAAGAAAATTTTTTTATTAAGAGGTGTGCTGTCCATATCTGCAAGACAAAACAACAGTCAGTTGGAGGCAAGTTTCAACCACCAGTAGGTAGGTAGCTGTGAGATGTGGGCAAGACTTCACTCATTTTGGCCCGCGATCAGCCAACATCATTCACTGCTGGGCAGGTTCTGTAGCACATCTTCAAGTGCAAGAAATGTGTCATTTCCTAGACCTGCAACACGTTATCCATCCTTTGGACTGGTTTTTGACATTGATGGAGTGATCGCAAGAGGCCGGGATGTTATCCCGGCAGCTGTGCAGGCATTTCATGAGCTGGTTGATGCTCAGGGACATTTCAGGGTCCCCACCACATTTGTCACCAATGCCAGCAACACCCTCAAGTACCACAAAGCTGAGCAGCTGTCAGAGTGGCTTGGGATCCCAATATCGTCAGATCAGGTGGTGATGGCACACTCACCTCTGAAGTGGTTCACTCAATACCACAATAAGCATGTACTGGTTTCTGGCCAGGGGCCAGTGGAAGCAATAGCACTGAATCTGGGATTCACCAATGTCTGCACCATAGATGCATTCAGAAGGCAATTCCCAGCACTGGATGTGGTGGATCACTCAAGACGCACATGGATGACTGTGCCGTCCAATGCAAGTTTTCCACCAATTGAGGCAGTTGTACTTCTGGGTGAACCTGTTCGATGGGAGACATCACTGCAGCTACTTGTTGATGTCTTGATGTCTAATGGACTTCCCCTGTACCGTGTGGATCAGCCACCCCTCCCACACCTGCCTGTCCTGGGCTGCAACATGGACCTGCAATGGATGGCGGGTGCTCCAATGCCCAGGTTTGGGCATGGTGCATTCTTGACATGCCTAGAGGCTCTGTACAAGAAGATCACAGGGTACACACTGACCTACTCGGCCCTGGTTGGCAAGCCATGCGAGATCACCTACCACTACGCCGTCAGCAAGGTCGAGGCCCAGGCGATCAAGGCCGGCAACGTCAATCCCATCCGCCACATCTACTGCATCGGCGACAACGTCAACGCCGACGTGTTCGGCGCCAACCTGTACAACGAGTTTCTGCAGAACCGCGCCACGCCGGAGCCGGTGCCGCAGCAGCGCAACTACAGCCTGGTGAACCGGGACGGCACGCTGAAGGAGCACCGCAGTCGCGCCGAGCGCTGCTTCAGCGTGCTCGTGCAGACGGGCGTGCACTTCGGGCCGGGCGGCGAGCGCAAGTGGGAGAGCGACCACTCGCCGCGCGACTTCCTGCCGGTCGACGAGCGCCTGCTGCAGCCAGACTTCGACTGCCGCGACGTGCTGGACGCCATCCACCTCATCTTCGAGCGCGAGAGCTTCGTCAGCTGATACCTTCACTGGGCGGGCATCTGCGCCGGGCGCGGTTAGGATCGATTTAGGTAGGGAGAGGAGCAGCAACTGCCAGCCGCACTCTGTTGCACGTGCACGAAAAGTCGGTGACGTGCGAAATTTTTAGACATGTAAATTTATTTCCTCAGTGGCAGGGCATTGTCGAGTGAGGTGACAGGCCTGGAGGGTATCCGTAGACAGTGTGGAAAAGCGCGTTGTCTGATGCCCCTGCGGCAAATAGGAACGTTATCGTGCACTCAGCATGCTGTAATGCTCGTATTTGGGTCACAATTGTTTTGGTTCGACACGTTTTCCTACATGTCATTTAGTTCACGGGATAAAGATCACATGGTGTGGACGCTTTTTATTTTCACCATTGGTTTGCAACTGGTGATCGTGCCAGTATGAGCCATTTTGTCAGATATAAATCCTGCGCCTGAATGCTGTGAATTTCGACCGATCTTGGTTCTATAAGCGGGGTGAACACTTGGTTTGAACCCCTCAGGTGCTATTAATGTTATTTATTAATATACCTGTGACCTCATCATATGTTGTGTGGATTTGGGGTGATTTTTTGGGAAATAGGACCTGTATCACAAACACATGGAAAAGAAGACGCAAGGGTGAGGGACGCGTTGTGGTCGTCACGGCAGTGGCCGAACTAGCGTTAAAGTTGGTGTGCCACAGCCACTATGGAAGATGTGCATCTATCTTGTGAGTCCTTTTTCTCAGAGGTAAGCATCAGAAACAGCTGATCGGCACCTCACACGAAACGGCCGCTTTCCCGAGAAAAATCCAGAAAGGTAGCGCACTGGATGTCCCTTACATTCTAACTTACGGGGTTAGAAAATGTGCGGAGACTGGATCACCATATCTTGGCGTAACCAATATCTAAAAAATACAGGTGCTTGGCGTTTTTTGACCAAGTGCACAACCAGTGACTGTTTCATGTCGAATGATATAATTGGTGGCACGGTTACACCGGAAGCAAGTAGATGAAAACGTCATGATTGCGCCAGACGTCAATTTCGAAAAGCACGTCTCTCGCTCGCTGTGCGATGGCAAGACGCGGCGCTGTGGTTGGGGCTGAATGAGTGAAATCGCCGTCGGAAGCTGCTGTAAGAAGAATGGTGGTGATTCGTCCATTTCCTGCGCAGGTGTGGCGTGGCGTACATCGATGACCAAGCACATTCATTCAGACTATCTAGCTGATCTAGCTGGTCATGCGCATGTTCCAACAGGGTGGGAGACGAGGAGCAGCGTCATCGGCAGGGTGGAGGACGAGGAGCAGCGTCATCGGAAGGGTGGGAGACGAGAAGCAGCGTCATTGGAAGGGTGGGAGACGAGGAGCAGCGTCATCGGCAGGGTGGGAGACGAGGAGCAGCGTCATCGGATGGGTGGGAGACGAGAAGCACCGTCATTTGAATGGTGGGAGACGAGGGGCAGCCATTTGAATGGTGGGAGACGAGGAGCCGCGTTATCGGCAGGGTGGGAGACGAGGGCAGCGTCATCGCCAGGGTGGGAGACGATGAGCGGCGTCATTGGAAGGGTGGGAGACGAGGAGCAGCTTCATCGGCAGGGTGGGAGACGAGGAGCAGCGCCATCGGCAGGCGTGACCGTGGCGTCGATCTTAACACGCGCTCGGGTCGGTGGTGAACGTAACCCTTTCAGAAGGTTTTTACAAAATCATTTTGGAACGGCACGGCGTAGCCGCTCCAAACTTTGCACAGCCGTGGGCAATTAATTAGTGGATCTTTTGGCACGAAACATTAGATGTACCTTGCAAGGCCGCTGACCTATGGCGGGTCAAAATCAGGGCATGGCTGTCAGCGAAGGCAATTTCTATGGGTTCAATCTTATGCGATAAGGGGTGTTAGACGAATCCATGCATCTCTGAGATAGTTCCCCAGGCAATGAAACAATTGAACTTGAGATTACAATAAATTCCAGTGGCCCATGGTCAAGTATGAAGGCCAGGCCGAGTTTTATACCAGCCTGCTTTTTACTGGAGAATGCTTATGAAGCAATTTCTCATATTCATTTTGAATTTCTTGATAACAGGAACCGTAACAATCATCATTGCTAGATTTGTTAAAGGTCAGAGTAGGTCACTAAGCTAAAATGAGTCAGATCAACTACTTGTTTGTAAGAACGTGCCGCCTAGCGTGTTCCTGAACGCTTATTGACATTCAATTAGAAAGCTCAGAACTCTTCGGTGGTGAACATTTTTAAATTGTTGCAAAAATTGCAAGCTGCTGAAGCAGCATTTTACGGCTAAAGGAAACATGTTCAAGGTCTAAAATCACCTCCATTGTTCTCGCAAGATACAAGTACCCTTCACGATTTTGAGAATAAATGTTGAAGATAGTTTTTTAAGAAAGTAAGGCGATTTTTATGAAATCTTCACACGGTTCCACGACCACGAAAGTGCCGGGTTGCTGCAGTACGGGCTCAGAAGCCTGGTGATCATAAGTTAGCTTCAGGTGGGGGTCATTGCCAGAGCGAGGAGGCACCGGGGCTGCCAAGGTCGAGCGGAGGTCATGGTCGGCGGTTGCCAAGGTCGAGCGAAGGTCGTGGACCGGGGTATTCGCAGAGCTGGACGACGGTCTGACACTGCGGCGGGAGTGCGCGATCCAACGAAGTGGGTCGCACATGGCGATTCATCAAGTGAAGCGGCAACAGGCAGCCGAGGCCGGGTAGCAACGCTTCCGTCTTCGCCATCGAGTGGGCGTCAGCGCCGAGTTCGAGTTTGTGTCCACGTGGTTGTTCTTCCTCTTTCCACGTTTAGCCATGATTGGGAAGCGAGGAAGGAAGAATAAAAGGTGAAATGAGTTCATTTGGGGGAGGTCTGGAGGCCTGACTGAAAAAATGACGATCAGAAAGTGGGGCTCCTTGGCAGAACAGGAACAAACCTGGGACGCCGAGAAACGTGCCTTGCCAGACGGGTGTTTATGCACTGAGTGTATCGACACCAGGAATGAAACAATGGCAGATGCCTTTGGCTAATCGCATCTTTATTTTGACATTTTGTCACTGCGGCGTTAATGCCATGTCCAGCCGAGTTAGTCGTGGTGCGGAGCCCGCGTCACAGCCAGGGCAGAGGAGCGGCGCGCCGGCGTCCGGCGAGCCTTCCCCGACGAGCAAATAAGTCGCGTTCGTGCCGCACACTTGGCAAGTTCGCGTCGACACTGTCGGCGCGTTATCCACGCCGGACGCACAGGGGTTTGCCGCGTCGTCGCTGGGGTAGGTGGCGCTAATGTCGTTCCCGTCTCCGCTGTAGACGACGCTGCTGCGGCCGATGTACTCCCGAGGAGCGCGGGAGCTGAACTGATGCAGGCGTTGGAGAATGCGTTGGTACACTAGACGATGGGCGTCGATCCCCCACAGGAAGTCCAGGTGCTGCCAGAGCGGCCACGCCACTGGGCGACTGGAGACTAGGTTTGGTAGTCGTGCGGCCAACGCCGCCACGTCCTGTCCGCACGAGAAAGCCAACACCGAATCAATGATGGTACGTGGGTCACGTGCTGCACGTCCAGGTATCAGTCTGCGACCATCGACGTTAGGAGCAATAGTAGCGGCCTTCTTTATGGATACACTATGAATAACTTCATTGACTACCCTCCCGGCATCACAGTGCACATTGAGGACAAACAGGCTGGCAGGAAGAAAACTGCTAGGAAATCCTCGCAACAATTTGATGGGATCCTAGCTTCTTGCGTGGCTGCCAGCTCAAACAATTGGATAAGCGTGCACAACAGAAAACGCCATGTTTTTGAAAACCCCATTCAAATTCTCCGCCGCATGAGGCCTGGAGTCAGTTTCAGCTCATGTGGCGGGGACGCTTTGCTCACCCGTTTGTCGGCCATTTTGTCGTTTTTCCCCCACATGAGTACCACTGGTACGGTGACCAGTTCCGGGAAATACAATGGCGGCTTTCGTTGTCCGTATATAGCTAAATTTCTCTTTTTACCGTAATCAAAACGCTGGAATCGGCCTGAAAGAAAGATGCGATGCTTATGTAGCATGGGAACCTCTGGGTACATCAAGAAGCAATTGTCCGTGTGATGAACTTCATTATTCACGATCGCATATGATACTAAATTTCGAAGTCGTAAAAATGTGTGTTTTTGATAGAGTAACATTCTGCGTCGATCTAGCATCAATGAAGTCGAGCTGGAGGAGGGTTTTCCAAAAAACAAAGTTTTATCATCAGCTGTATCGGATCAATCAAAGTTGCAACTGATGATGACGTTGGAATCAACTCGAACAGGAAGACTTGATGCACAGAGTCGATCACGGAGGCGGCTTCAACACAGTTCAACAAACAACAAATTTCATTCTACCAAGTTATGAGCGACACTAAGCACAACTTGGCAATCAAACACACGGAGCGCCAAACATGCTTAACGCAGAACAATAGGGATTTTGTGCAAGCCTATACGTACCTCGAGAAATGGACTATGCTTCTTACCGTGGGCGTTGAAAATAATTCGACCAAGATCTCCGGCTTCACAACTGGCTGGAGTCAAACCCTGACAAGCTCCCTGGAAGCTGAGTTGAAAGAGACTGGAGGACTTGGACTGGGAGGAAATGGGCTTGGTTCAACCACGGTTACCAATTTGTAATCGTAACGCACTCGGTCGGGTGAGTATTTTTGAAATTTACAGGTATATGTACGGATATGGGTAAAATGTGAACGAAATATAGACAAGATACTTCAAAATATGACACATGTTATTACTGCTTCGGCTTCTTCAACTCACAATCAGCTCTATTCACGCCACGTCTTCAATGATCAACGTCAAACTGCAAACATTCTTGAAGAGCTTTCGGAATATTTATCATTATTATAAACGTGCTGGAAAAAAACGCGCGGTTCAGTAGCAACTAATTAGATACAGGTAACGGATGGGTATCCCCATGGGCAGACAGTGGATTGGATAAAGCAATCTCACTCGTGAAGATATCTAGACTAGACTCCGCTGACAAAGACTTGAGAACAACTCCGCTCTCCAAACGTCGTGAGAACCACGCTATTCATAACTGGGTCATGCCAGCCCCTACGGCACCACCGAGAGTGGGGGTCGGAAGCGAAACCGCCCAGTCCCAGAGTGGGCGCATTGTTTGACCCGACTGAAATGGAAAGGTCAGCTGGGCCAGCGAGGGTCAACCCTGGCCCGGACGCCCGTGCCGCAGCATCATGCGGAACATGTAGCCCTTGGCAGTCCTGGGTTACGAAAGGACGGACGCAAAATCATTCGTTGGACTGAGCAGCCTGACTTGGATGGTAGGTTCATGGTGCACACAACAAGCTATGCTTAGCAGGTTCTCTGGACCCAAAACAACCCATGTAAACCATTTGGAATGACTGTAAAGAAGAAGAATAAATTGTGAAAGACATGAATGACCTATAGCCATACCGGAGCTGATGTGTTGGGCGAACTGTTGCTCCACTCTGGTGCCAACACCAGCCGGTACATGTGCGAAAATCTGCGGTAAACTGGCCTGCAACGCCGGCAGAAATTCATGTGACCTTTTCCGCCTTTTTGCTTTCAAGACACGTGTCCATGACATTCTTCAAAGTACGTAGCCTTTTCACCTCTTGTGTTTGTCTCCTTACGTAGTGTTAATCATTCACGCTTTCCCAGTGTCGATTTACACGTTGCAAACTTTGAAAATGCTGGAAGAGCGGACAGGCGCGTATGCAAGGTTTTGCAAGGAGAATGTCGCAACTCAAAAATTTTCTCTGAAAACCCAATTTAACGCAATGAAGGCGCGCGAACTTTCACACATGGCTTAAACCAAAGCATCATATTTTCAATCTATTTAGTTGTGCGTATTAACCTCGGAATGCTTACAGCCGTCATTCATCCACGCACCGAAGTGCAAGGAATAGTAATGTGATGTTCTATGCAAGTAATATAATAAGGGGATGGGACTCGTTCCCCGGAGGCAGTGGCCCAGGTGAGGAGGGCATCGGGGACACGTGACAGGGGTTGGCCGGAGGTCGCACCATAGGGCACGGCTCGCAAGGTCAAGCCCCTTAAGGCCCACCAGAGAGGCTTTTGTGCTGATTGAAGACCCATTGGGCCGATGAGGGCTTTTATTTCAGTCAGACATCATTAATACCAAACAGTCGGCTCCGCGTTGGTCTGGGCCTGAGGGACCATTTCCTAAGCAGCTTTTAGGCACGGACTCGCGATTCACGTTGATCGGAGCCGGCCGTGGGAACATTTGTCGAACAGAGACAGGAACAATACCCGGAATTCCCAGGGCCTATTGCGTTGGTCGGGGGGCCTCTGACAATGAAAGGAGGCATGGCAAATAGCAATGAGACAACGGAAGGGCCCTGTGTCAGTCCGGGTCCGCAGAAGGGAACACTTCCACTTTATGTCAGCCGTTTAGCCGAACTGGAGTCTCTAAGCCAATTGTTGGACCACCTGCGGTGATAAATAATCTTGTTACGTCAATGAGGGCTCCTGTGCCAATCCGGAGCTAACTGCCCGTGTCAGGGAGCGTTCCACGTCAGGGAACTGGAACGTTCCACGTTCCATACATTCCATACTACTTTTGGACTAATGAATGATGCATCCTTCTAAAGGCATCCGGCTCGCCTGGGACCCCCACCCACGTGTCGTCAGGATGGCAGCCGGTGAGCCACCCGCGCTGGGGCGGAATGGCCCCCAGTCCTTGACCGGGAATGATACTGTGGCCCTTGGCGTTCTAACCACAGGGCCCTTCCACGGAAAGTGTGGGGTTTCGTTAGTGTTCAGGAGGGTGGATCGGAATCGGATTAGGCTTGAAAAAAATAACCAATGTAAACCTGATAACGTACATACTTCTGCAGAATCGATTAGTGGAACAAAAAGCATGAACTAATGTTGAACGTGCGCGCTCGTAATCTCAGGAGTGGGATCAGCAATAGCCGAGTTGCAATGCCGTAAAATCGAACGACGTTGGTCCATGCAGACAGCATCATGTGGCCGGCGCCGGCGCCTGAGAACGAACATCTTGAAATAATGTTTCCGGAAATCTTTCGAAATCAATTCGTACCGTTCAAAAAGTGACTGGCGCGTATGTTTCACAGTAATAATTTTGAGGCGGTCCTCTGAATTGTACAACAAGAAAACGAATATAGATTCTGTGTATACTCTTCCAGTTCCACCAGCAATATCTAGCGCCAGCTCGCAATGGTGTAAATGTTAATCCGTTCCTTGCAGCCATCTGAAAACTGCACGGGTGAAATATACGCCCGGACTACCTTCTAAACGTACGAACTAATGTCCTAAGGCATTCAAAGACTTTTGGACACCTTTAGACATTAATAAGACCACTTGCCACACACCGCATCACCTGTGCCGCTTTCAGATGCGTCATCATTTCCGCCCAGCCGTTGACCGCCGTCCACTACTACCGCGGAGCCACCGGCGCACGGCCTGTGGGGACTCCAACGCTGAGCGTCGGGGGCTCCTGTTTCAAGACTCGCGAGCGCGCATGTTCAAAACTGTGTTAGACTATCGCTATCACTATTTCATGCTGACTTAAAGTTGAACATTTCCATACAATCATGAGGTTGGCCATGTTGATGCAGTTTTTTGCCTGATTTCGATTTCTCTTTTACATTGCCATGGCCATCAATATATCGGTAAAACCCATACAAATTATTGCAAAGCTTGAGTTTTATCGGTTTAGACAGCGCCCACTGAGCCATTGCGAAATAAATAGCGCCGACGGCATATTTCATGTAGTCATTTGACGCCTGGCTCATTCAGTTTATTGACTTTAAAATGCTAACAGGATTTCATCTTCTGGTAGCTTGTGGCCGGTGTTGTAATACAAGAAGGTAAAAATACAAATGCAAGAGAATCTTGCTCCCTCGAAATCAAGTGGGGCACACCCGGGTTTTTTTTTTGGGGGGGGGGATTTTACCATCAAGGGATCCTTTGTCAATCATGTACCTACCCTTACCAAGGCCCTGGCCTTGCCTATGCACGAACTCCACTAAGTGGGTTAGCCCTTGACCTTGGCAGCGGAAGTCCTCCCGGGTTGGCGGGGGAGGGGGCAAGGGGTTTAAGTCATTCATTGCCATTTCTTCCCAGTCAACGCGCATAAAGGGACAATATTAAATTTTCAGGGAGTTGGGGACACTCAGTCCCCCGCCTCTTGTGTCCCCATCCCCCTGAGTTTTGAACCCCTGTAACAACGACCCAACGGGTTTAAAATGGAGTAATAAATACAATACAGCAAATCCCAAGATTTGCACGCGCTTTCTCCTGAGTTCGTTGGAAGGTATCACACCGCTGTTGGATTTGGTAAAGGGAACCAGAATATCAAAAACCTTAAATTTGGAAAAATACTTAGTCGATGTTTGCAAGTTTGGGATACACTAACTACTCATGCTCTACGTCACACTCTAATTGTATAAAGGGAGCATGTCTTTTTGTACTATTTAGCTACTAAATCTGACACGTCCGATTTGGCTGGCGGTACGGGTTTTCTCGAAATCCTCTTGATTAGCTCAGGATTTCTTTTATAAGTAGCCACTTCGACGGGATGAATATTATTGGACTTCCTGTTCACTGCTATGCAAGCAACACTTTTCATTTGCTTTGCTTTTTTCAACGTTTGTGTTCGGCAATGTTGACGATACACCAGTTCGCCAAAATGTTTGTATAATATATGCTACAAAGCCTGTAGCACTCCACTTGGAAAAAGACACACAAACACGCATACCATCACGCAAAGTAATCGAGACGTTATAATAACACTTTGATTTCCCCGCTAAAGCGTTAAGCACAGCGGTTCAGCGCAGTTTGCACTCTGCGAAGCGCATTGCGGCTTTGGGAAAGAGAGCATCACATGATGCACAGGGACGCACTGGCCAAACTGCAACCAATGCGCTTCTCGGTAAACGGCCGTCGCCAATCTCTGTGTCGATCACAAGCGTTCAGTTGTCCTGACGTCATTCACAACAGTAGAGGTGCCACTTTTAGGCCCGTAGGGCACCAATGTACACGCTTAAACAGTTCATTAGATTAACTCTAGTCCGCAACAGCTGGCGACAGCCCTTAATAGATCCTGCCGTCGTCATTGCTCATTAGATCTTGATGAGATGCAGTAGCACTACCCAGTGATATTATCAGGCGTAACTTGTCCTGAGGTTTCATTAAAGTATGCATTTTTTAAATATGCCCCAAAAGGTGGGACACTCGCTTTAAGCGAGATTCGTCTGCATCCTTTTTTTAAATCACGAATTTGTCGAAGATTGCAAGGAAGAGTAAACACAAGCCAGAACGGAAGCATGTGCCCAAATACACGCATTTCAATAGTTTACCGCCATGCGGTACCGACGCCGCGACGCACCTCAGCTCGTCGAATGTCATATGCATACCTTGTCCAGCTGTTTGGGGTCCCAGCCAGCCAGTAGAAAAATCCCCAGGGCACACAGAAGAACCGTCGGCGAGTGCTTGCTGCAGAACACCTTCCCAAGGTTGCCGTATAATGTATTGTATGGCAACGACTCGTAAATGCCCAGCTTATCTGCCGTGTGCTGTAGAAAGATGTTTTAGGTTAGAGCAGGTTATAAGAATTGTTCTGGCGCCTTTCACTTGAAGTAGCTGTGGAGAAAGATAGGACCTTTGTTGTTAACTGTCAATTATATTCCAGACATTAATTTGGTGTTGCAATGAATATGTTACGTTATTTTCACATCTCGCTGATGGCATGGGGATATTTCGATAATTTTTTTTCGCCACATGTGACCACTTTCGCTGTATTCTGTCGGGCCAAAGATGACAAGGGGAACCAAAAGACTGGAAAAGCGAATTCCCAAACCGATCACGGCAGAATAGTATTTATAGTACGCATCGCGCACATACACACATACACACGCACGCGTACGCACACGTGCACACACACACACACACACACACACACACACACACACACACACACACACACACACACACACACACACACACACACACACACACACACACACACACACACACACACACACACACACACACACACACACACACACACACACACACACACACACACACACACACACACACACACACACACACACACACACACACACACACACACACACACACACACACACACACACACACACACACACACACACACATATATATATATATATATATATATATATATATATATATATATATATATATATATATACATGGTGTGTTGTAGAAGTATGACATCCAACCGACTGATTAGTTCTGATCAGCACAACCTTTCTCCATTCCAGACGTGTCTCTGGCTTAGTGTTCATGTCATCCAGTACGCACCCTTTTGACATCTGCTTGCGTCCAAGTCTTGGAGCTTCGCTGGAAACCCAAACAGTCTCAAAGAGCCGAGAATCTGATCATTCACCGCTCAGGGGTGACTGCACTGTCGACAATCACCGGTCACCATGGCAACGCTCTGGTGCGGCGACCATGGCCGCTGACGCTGCCGCACTAGCGTCGGCCGACATGGGCGCCCTACTTACAACGAGGGCGCCGCTGAAGGGCACGGCCAGCCGAGCGATGCTCCTCCAGTACTTCATGGTGGCCACCGGCCCCAGTGCCACCATCAGACGCACCTTGCTGTTGTACGACGGGTCGTGGTTCATCATCGCCCAGAACGACCATGTACCTGCCACGGCGCGGCGGAGCTCGTGAATCACGTTTGTCACCGTCTTAAGCGCCCTGCCATGGCGCAGCGGAGCTCGTGAATCACGTTTGTCACCGTGTTAAACGTGTTCTTACGTCACGCATTAAACGCGTCTTAACCCCATTTTCGTATTCAACTTAAAGGCAGGGTTTGTTTTTCGTCGAGTCAGTCGTAATGAAGCATAACATGGCTAATTACATGGCACAAATTTCACTCTGCTTTGCTTAGCTTTGCATAGTTCGTACTTACTGGAAGAAAATCCGATGTAAAACAAGTCCTCGTAGCCAGTGACGTGTAGTATGTAGTCGATTATAGCTGGGTTATCATATCGCGCATAATCGTCTGCCCTAAAGATGGTAAAGGAACAAACATGAATCAGACGTGTGCGAGCAGCAAGATAATTGTGAGTGGCTTCGGCCAAAGAAACGGGTGTCGGCTGTAAGCCAAACATTTGATTCCTTGCATACTAGATGCACTCAGAGTATTTTCCTGTAAGATCTCTAGGCATACTGTATGGAATGATGGGGTGGAGATCAAATATGATCAGTATCATGAAATACTTTTTTTAAATTTTACGCTGAAGTTTTGCAGAAAGAACAGCAAGACAAAATACATCCGGCTCTAGCATTCATCAGCTTAAAACAAAACCTACACACAAGCACACTAGGGTCATAACCGGATAAATTATGAATCATGTACTGTACCCGTGTCCAGAATTCCCTGCTGCCTCCCGAACTAAGATTGAGTCAAATACAAACAGCGCTTACGGAAGATCAGTGGTCGAACTCTATTGAAAAAAGACAGCCAGATCTAAAAAATGATGTAACATCACCGTACGACAAATGGTGTGGTTTCCCACCCAGCGCAGCACCAGCAGGTTAACTTGGCACGGTCATGTCTCAGATTTTACTGGAAATTGGCATCCACGTCATCTTCTGCGGAGAGTCCATCTGGCACAATAGCAAGCTACTTTTTCATAACCGGAGTTGACATTGGTATGCTTTTAGGGTCGCGTCGTCCACAATGATGCCTGGAATATTATTAACAGATCGATTTTGGATATTGCAAAAATTCGTACAATGGAACTAAAACAAAGTTTACCTAGGTCAACTTAAAAAAATTACCTAATGACCTACGTTAAAGATCATCGTTGTAGCGTCGCATAATGTCCATTCTTAACTTTGCATTCTGCAGATGATACTTTTCGTTTTTTGTCTTTCTAAAACAGCAATCAAATCCGAGGGTGTGCATGTCTAAACAGGCCTCCCATGGCACGAAATGTGCCCGTTTTACTCATTCACGTGTTCGGACGTCACCGAACTGCAACGCTTTTCTACCAACTGTCTTGCGCTCTAATACGTGTGCCAATGCCCAGAACAGTCAGAACTCTTAATTAATTGGAACCAGGGGTTATCCAATGTTTTAAATCCACCTAGCCGAGTATCAGTTCTGTGTGACTTATACATGCATACATATATATATATATCATGAGGTTAAACGTAGGGCTTGACGCAGCGTTGATTGCCTTTTGCGTTTCAGCGCCAAAAAACGTATGCAAAATGCTGTGACGCAGTATATTTGCATGCTTGTGAAAATGAATGATAATTTTGCTCATTTTTCAGCGTTTCTAAACAAGTCCTCGGTTTTTCCACATCACGATGGTCCACATCACGATGCGATGGTGCTGTCTTCAACAGTAGATTGTGATTAATGCCCATGACCGGTAATTGATAAAAAATGGTCAAATTCAATTATAAGACCCATTCAAGCTCATTCTCACGCATGCCTTTGAGTGGCAGATGGTCCAGATCAACCGAGTTTCGTTTTCATCACCTAATTTCAAATGTTTAAATTTCGTGGGGTAAATGCAACGGAATGAAACTCCAAATGAAACATATTGTTGCCACGTTCAAAATATCCTGATGAAACAAGTTTGTATTCCAAAAATTATACCTTAGGATCTTTCAGCATCTTTTTCATTCGGAATCTATACCTTTTTTAACCTGATCTTTATGTGATCTATAGCTTTTCGTATATTATATACATATATGCATTGTGCTAGAATTGGCTGGAATTCAGGAGTTCTTTGGAAGTTTTTTTCTGATGGGTCCCATGTGACCATTGTGCTTTTGGAATGATTGCTCATCCAGGATCTACTTTTGATTAATTCGTAGGTTTGCCAACGACGCAGCACCCATTATTGCGATAATGCACATGTCGTGTGCAGTGGGAACAAAGATCAAAGCCGAAGCCGGTCCTGATTCGCAGCGGGTCTCCCTTAAAAAGCGACGCAATGCTCTTACGGGCTATCGTCGCCGGGGACGGTCACGTTCCTGGTCACCGTTGCTGAAACTCCACTCACGTGAACTGCCAGAACTGACGGCTGTCCGGGCTGAGCCGCACGTGCTTGCGGGAGTACCTGTTGCCTCTGTTGTTGCCCAGCCATACATCGTAACCTTGATCTGCGAGCATGAATCCTGCAAAGACGTTGCAAATGTTAGATCGCTAGATGCAAGCTTATTCGGTCCACTACAGTCGAAAAATATGCGTGGCAACAAAGAAACATCGATAAAAACTACACTTCACTCAGACAATATAACTACTTTGAAATATAAGGAATACGTCGTCGGAGCGGGGTTTATCGGCCTGGAAAGCCTGCGGCGATTCTGGTCAATAAAGGTTCTGACCACAAAATAAAACTTCTTTGAACTGCTGAATGAACTACAGAGTGGACTGCGTGCTTGCGAGCCCAGCTCACCTAAATATGTCATAATTATGTAAACCGCACGTAGTAAGTCGGCGTCAAAGTCGCCATGTGTAGCCATCACAATCCACAAGCATGCTATACACATACACGTTGTTCATGGTGATATAGGCGTCAGGTGCTCATTGGTCACATTGATAATCGGCTGGTGTTGCGGCTACCGGGACCTAACAAGCCGACTGGCTTAGGTGGTTGGGTGACCTGCACCGACCTAGCGAGCGTCGTAGGTTGATGGCCCAGGTGGCCTCTGTACTGATCCAGCGAGGGTCGCGGACTAATGACCCAGGCGCCCTCTGTACCGACCCAGCGAGGCTCGCGGGTTGATGACCCAGTCGGCCTCTGTACCGACCTAGCGAGCGTCGCGGGTTGATCACCCAGGCGGCCGAGCTGTCCTGAAGGCCATGCATGAGCAGCACTGCCGAGCCGGGCCTGCGGCGGCCGGCCGTCTGTGGTATCCGGTGCAGTTCCAACACGTAACCGTCAGCCGTCTCCACATGGTGGACCTCCACCGGGTATCCCTTGTCTTGTATCAACTCCGGCTGCCGAACAGCGCCTCACGGATCACGACCAGGGAGTATGCTCTTACGCGGCGACAGCAAACAGGTGCGGTGGTTCCTGATGTGGTGGCAGGATCCATGCATACAGTACTGCTGGACGATCATGGGGCGAAATGGCAGTACCTGACTCATGGTGCATGGCTCACGCTCTTTGACATCCAGAGTGGCGTATAATGCCGTTTATCGAACACCATAGACCTAACGCAAATGGGGGGAAAAGCATCAGCTCGCGGGCAGCATGCAGCCGGCGAACACGACCGCTAGCGACTGCTTGTTCTGGCGCCAGGGACCACTTACCACGGTTTGAAAAATGTCGTGTGCTTTGGTCTCGCCATGGTCGACGCTGAGCAGCAATGCAGCGAGCAGGCAAGCGAGCGCGTTCATCGCACGGGTTTGGCTTCCAGACCCTGGTACCCAGCCGGGGCTGGTCTTGTGAAGAGACAGACAGAACTGCAACGCTGAAACAAACCCATGGGGATGTCAGTCGGATGGGCTGTACGCTCTACGCGGTTTCATCCAAACGTACAGATATTCTGATCGCTCTCAGCCACGCCTGTCGCGTGCTGCCTGTATGCGCCGAGCATCACTGTAAAGGCTGTTGTTCTCGCGATCGTTCGTTACTGCGTGAGCGTGCAGGGGTCATGTCGTGTGACGAAGATCGGTCTCGTGCAGATCGTCCACTTTTGTGCGCGCGTGGTTGGTGCCCGCAGACGCTGCAGCCATCACGCTTCAGACGTTATCGAGCAGCTCGACTGACTGCAAAAGGCCGATTTAATCTAATAACAAACCGTTTGCGCAGCCCAACGAGCTATCAGGACTGATCCTTTCGAGTACATCAGCGAAGCCGTCAGTCCAATACACCATCAGTCCAATATCTCGCGGGCGGCATGACTTCGGCACCCAAAATGCATATCGTGCAACAATAGAAAGCCGTAGCTGAATGGCTTAACAAAAATTAATCGGCTGGATAAAAAGCAGACACACACAAACACTAATATTCCCCCGCTGGAAGAGCCCCATTGAAACTTCTGCCGAGATCGACCAATGCTTTCCATGCACCTACCTGGGATGGTGGAAGTGATTGGGAAGCGTGCCTGGAGAAACTCTCGCGCGTAATTTACAGACGAGTGTGATCTATGGGCTGAGTATGATAATGATGTGTCCTGGACTACAGGGCACTGGAAAAGTTATTGTCATCCGGGTAGTGCAGGGAATGGGATACCAATTTCGAGATGTGGTTAGTATCAAACTTGGGTTTGACTCGAAATTCTTGAACCAGCTCCGGACTGGCTCACAGATTGTGGAATCTGACTCGGCTCGTGACTCGGCTGTTCTTTTTTTCATTTGACTAAGTTCAGACTATATTTACATTGGAGCACTTGACACACGACCAGTGTCTGAAACGTGGGTGTTTCTTGGTGTTTTTAGCCCCAAGACATTTTGTTCTCCAAAAATATACACTGGAAAGAATGCAAAAAATTATTATCTGGGAGCGACATCAGATGGAGGCAAGCTGTTCCTGCAACTTCGACAGCATCGCGCGCCACACTCACGACTGAACGAGGGATTCTCCCTGCGGGTTACAGCCGAATTTCTCTACCATATCACACATAATCTTTCCTTGCAATGCATTCAGTGCCCAGGTCTGTTGCTGCTCACCAGCGCATGTTTAACTCACCTGCCGTCCAACGGCACCCATGCGCTCACACACCGCGCTCGATCCCGCACCCCAAATAATAGCGCCTCTCGACGTACCAGGGAGAAGCGCGGAGAACATCTCGCACGCGGCACGATTCAACATTTCTGGATTGCGCGTAGAAATCATTGGAACACAAGAAAAACTGATACAAAAGTATATGACGTACACGTTACATGTACCTTTAAATATGAGGTAAACTAATCATATATTGATAAATAAGTTATTTTTCATTCCTTTTAAATCGTACTTCTATTGAAGCTTTATTGAAAGCTATCAAAAATGGATATGGTATGGAACGTATAATGGTGACGTTTAACACCATCTCGAATACTCGCTCGGGCAAGTGGAAGACCAAGGCTCCGCGAGTCTCCGGCTCTTGGGGAGGATTTAGCATTGGAGAGAAGGCATATTATCCACCAAGAAATCTGAGGTGAATACGTGATGAACATGTATAAAAGGATCATCAGACGAAAGTATGAAATTTTTCTATCGATCTACGGAGGGCCCCCACAGAATCATGATTAAGTATAAAGCTAAAGCAGTGTTTCTTGTTCTCCGTTGAGCAAAACTTCTACTGGTGTATTGATATGATCATTCACGTTTTTGAGATCTACCTTTTGTTTTAGCCGGTTTTTTCCAACCAATATTTTTTTTTTTTAAATCAATGCGGTCCTAAAAAGCAATATCAAAACCGATAAATAACCTACAGTGGCTCTGTCGTTGAAGACGGCTGTGGCGTGCGCGTCATTTATGTAGCCTACCGACCTTATTTTGGAGGAGCCGCGCGAGGGGCGGTGGTGATGCGGGTGGTTTGTGGTGCAGACAAAGGCATTATATAAATTTAGTTCAGCGTCATACATTGAGGAAAGTACTGTATCACACTCAACGCCGGTGAGAAGATGTAGTGATGCGAACCTCATGCGAATGGATTGCTCTGTGTGGATGAAACAATTCCTCCGCCCCTGCTGCGTCGGCATCCGAGCCCCGATCACGCAGTAGCCTGACGTCTCAGGTGGTGTAGTTTTGTACACAATTTGGTGGAGCGGGTGAGCAGAGAAATCTTTAATATCATGGGAAGTGACCACTTCCCAGTGTGAATCAGGTTTAAGAGTGGTGGAGCGTTGAGTGTTAGACCACAACGCTGGAATTTGAAGAAAGCGGACTGGTGCAAATTTGGGACTCGGCTCGAAGAATTGTTTGTAACTGAGCCTGAGAGGACGGCACACTCAATTGAGGATTTTACTCACAGACTTTTAGCTTGTGCCAACAGTTGTATCCCATGCACGTCTGGCGCTCCCCGACGTACTCCTGTTCCGTGGTGGACGGAGAAGTGTCGAAGCGCCATCCGGGCGCGTAAACGTGCGTTTCGGGCTTTTGACGCCAGGAGCAGTGTAGAAAACCTGATAGCCTTTAAGAAAGTGAGAGCTTTTGCTCGGCGCGCTGCAAGCGAGGCGAAGCGTGCTTCCTGGCACGCGTACATGAACACGCTAAACCGGTTTATGCCGACATCGCAGATCTGAGCCCGGATCAATTGTATTTCGGGCCAGCTTTCACCCATAGCTCTGCCGGTGCTGTATGTTAACGGCCAGGCTGTGACGCGCCCGTTGGATGTTGCGAATGGGGTTGCCCGGGCCCTGATCCAACGCAGCGTAGGTGGTAACACAAACCCACGGTTTGTGCGGCATAGAACGCGATGTGAGCAATCTGCGGTGGACTTTTCGACGAGTGAATCGCATTCATATAATGACCCTTTCACGCTGGTCGAGTTGGAATCGGCGATCGCCAGGCTTCGCAGCGTGTCAGAAGGCCCGGACACTGTGCACAACGATATGCTTAAGCATCTGCCGCGTCGCGTGCTTCGCGTTTTATTAGCGATCTTTAATTTGCCTTGGACCAGAGGAAAATTCACAGCTTCTTGGCGAGAAACTACTGTCGTGCCTCTCTTGAAGCCAGGTAAAAGCGGACTAGATCCTTTACATTATAGGCCTATTTCTCTCACTTCATCGCTCTCTAAGTCTCTAAGTACATCTCCTACCCGAAGCCTCGTGGTAAAATCGCACGAGCCGCCGTTGTCAGCGAGGAGGAAAATGATCGGCATGCGTTATGCACTTAAGCTGCGGCAGGTCCCGTGGCATCCCGCATATCACGCAGTGTTTCCGCGGCCTGCTGTGCCGTTTGTTCGCCATGCACCTCGGGCGCATGCTGTGACCTTTGGCTCCCGCATCCAAGCCTTACTGCGGGAAAACGAAATTCCCATTCGAAAGATGAAGCAATCAGGTCATCTGTGCACTCCTCCCTGGCATTGATCTCACCCTTCACAGACACATCTCTGACTGAAATTTAAAAAATGTCTCGCTGCCAGATATAATGAGGTCCAGAGCACTCGAGTGTTAAGCGTTATGTGAGGATTTCACACATACTTACACGGACGGCTCTAAAACTTCTGATGGTGTAGGCTGTACGTTTGTGAGCGGTGGCGTCATCCGGTCGTTTTCGTTGCCCCCAAACGCTTCGGTGTCATCGGAGGCTATAACAATCACTAAAGCACTACGTTTCATTTAAGTCGGCGACGAACCTTTACATCTCATTTTGACGGACTCTCTGAGCAGTGTTCAGTGTGAAGTGTTTTTATCGATCATGTCCCCTTATAATGGACATTTTAATACGTTTGACTCAACTGGATCAGGCTGGAAAGAGTCATGCTATGTTAGGTTCCTAGTCACATTGGAATCGCAGGCAACGAGCTGGCTGACGCGGCTGCCAGGCGAGCAGCGCCGGCTCCATATGTTCGCTATCTTTCTATTCCTGCCAGAGACTTTTACCCTGCAATTAAAACCTTCCTGCACAACAAGTGGCAGCGTTGTTGGGATCGGATGGATGGTAATAAGCTTAGAGAGACAAAACCTAAGCTGGGTCAGTGGTTCTCTTGTTTCCGCAAAATGAGGCGAGAAGAGGTGATCCTCTGCAGATTGCGCATCGGGTACACGTACGCAACCCACGGCTATATGTTGGAGGGAGCCGATTAACCCATCTGTAATCGATGTGGTGCTGTCCTTACCGTTCTCCATATCCTTCTATCTTGTCCGCGTCTCGTGGAAGACCGCCAACGTTACTTTGGACAGCATAACTTGCCCCTTACACTCTGTGATATGCTAGGAGACAGTTCACACTTACTGGGATCTCAACAGATCTCTTTGCTTCTCAAACACATCAATTTTGGGACCATTTATGCGGCTCATTAGATAGGTAGAACAAGACTTGTTATGGGCGCGAAATGACAAAATAAATGACAAAACAACAAAACAATATGCACCTACCTGCTGTACAACTAATATGAATATGCCTGGTACGTCGTAAACACAGGCACTTCCTACTTGCTGTAAGCGAGGGCACATGCCGCGTTCCAGAATCATTATAATACTTTTTGTCGGTGACGCATCACGCGGCACAAGTGAATCCGTTGCAAAGCGGCTGTATGCGTGAATACGTCTACTTATGGATTAAAATACTTGACCCCGCGAGATGCGCGTTTTGGGTATCGGTGCGGTATCGGTATCGGTATTGGTGCTGGGATATCGGTGCCGGTGCTTTGGGACCCCGTCATGTCTTAGCGCCGCGACACGGGCTAGCGTCGCCTCCTCACGCGGAGCAGCGTTCCTTCGGGACCGCGTCACCTTCGCATTCACGTTCCGCTGTCGGCGGCGGCTAGCTTGCG